CAAAAACAGAGAGCTCCAAGCTCTTCCCAAAGGAATTGAATATTAGAAACAGTGTGGGAAAGATCATGCCTAGATTTAAAATGTGCAATAACATAATAATAGTACAAAAAAGAGGAAGTGTGAAAGGAGGTATATAACAAAACCATTTGTATATCTTACTGGAATTAAATTAATATAATCTGAAGTACGAGTGCAATTGCTGTAAATGTGCCTGCTAATTTGAAGAGATAGCAGATTATACGTTGAAAAGAGGATTAGGTTTGACATTTCTTTTATTGGAATTCTTCATGCATGGAGAGATACTATACAAAAAGCCATTTAAACTTAATTGTAAGAATAACCAAATGATAAAATAGCAGTGATATATTTTATAGACGTTTTCATAGCCTGTATACACTTACAGACTTTCACATAGTGCTGTGGGGCACATGGTAAAGGGAAGAACAGCTAGAGGGTTTTTTAGGACAATAATGTCAAGGGACAGTGGAGCTATGTGCAAGAATGTTGTTAGGGGCGAGGGGAGGATGGTAACGGAGGGAGTCTAAGACTAAACTGGCCATTTTGGGCAATGCTATACATTTGTTCACTTTTAGTATGGCCCCAAGATTTTTATTTTCCCTCTGGAGTGTGATCATCAACATCAGGGAATGGTAGATATGGAACTTTGGGAAAGGAGACGTCACCCTGAACTTGGGGAGGCCAACCAACACAAACACATAGTAAAGCTGGCTCCCCGGGGTCCTCCAGAGAGGGAAGAGAGTGCCTGCTGCCGGCTGGCTGGGGGGATATTGGAACAGGCCAATGGAATGCTTTGCCAAGGTTCGCAAACCGAGATTGAATTTCGGCTGAATTTCCAGGAAATTTGAGCCAAATCGTGAAGGGACCTGGGCTGTATGGAATGTCAGGTAGGAGACATGAGAAGATCATTTAAATTCAGGATTAGTCATTTGATCCAAAACTGTGAAGTGGGGGCAGTCTAAGAAATATAAATTCATGGGAACCCCTCCCAAGTATAATTTTTCCACTATCTTGCTTTATCGATCTAGGGCTCTGCAGGACGTTGCCCCCATGTGTTCTTGAAAGCAGAAGGCCAAGGCCTATGAGTTCACCTAGAATGCAAGGAACACCACCATACTTTCTTTGTAATGTTTGATTGTAAGGAAAAACTCATTTTCTTATTGAAGTCACTGTTCGAAAGTTGGAGATGGTATAGAATTTTTTTGCAGATAATTTTTGAGGAAGGGAAACTTTTCGCCCTGACTTCCTCAGTTTTAGTTCTTTAAAAGAACTTTAGTTCTCTTCTTTTTAGTTCTAAAAGAACTTTAGTTCTTTTCTTTTTAGAACTTCTTACATTTTGCTAGGCCTTTAGGAGATCACATTTACTTAGGTGTCTTACAAATATGGTATAGTTTTAAAAAGTCTTTATGCTCCACTTATGTGTTTTAGCTATGCATAGGGACACAGGACGACAGAACAGTAAATTGAGCAGTGAAGATATTGGTTCTTGATCCAATTTTGCCACAAATGGCAAGAGGGACAAATGACTAAATTGCTGTGGGCCTCAATTTCTTCAATCTGGAAAACAAGGTTATTGGACTAGGTAATCTTTAAAGTTACCTCCACTCCACCATCATCTTTAAATTGCTTAGATTATATAAATCCACCTAGACGTAGGACAAAGGGTGTATATTCAAGTAGAAAGACAAGAGTTACCATAATTTATGCTGTAAATAAAATGAATATTCCTATTCCTTATGGATACTACTTATTATTAAATAATATTCCAATTATCTTATGCTTATTATCAGTTCTAATAATTTTAATCTCCAACCCCCACACTGGATGTTTAAATGCAGGACTGTACAAACTTATACCTAGACCTTAGTAACATCAGCTGAGTGTGTATTGGAATATGTGTTTGTGTGTACACATGTGTGTTTTCCCATTGGAACTAAATCATTATCTTCAACTGAGGAAGTGATTCTTCAACAATGATAGCTTCATTCCATGAATGATTTGGAAATGTTAAGTTGGTTACCAGAGAAGTAAATGTCCTTAGCTGACTTGCAGCTGTATAATTGCAGCTGTGCTCTTTTTCTCACCCTGAAGCAGTTGGGTTCGGGTCTTGATAATCTAAAAGCCTCTTCCTAATCTAAAAAAAATTATGTGGTGTGTCACTTCATCTTTCTCTGTAATTTATTTTATTTATTTCATAAGAAAACATGAAATTTACCTGGAATATGGAAAAGAAACTAGCCTTATGAAGAAATGCCAATGCTTTACATAAGATATTAATATATAAGGTAGGAAAAGGAAGTACTGTAGGACTTCAGGAATGGCCATTTTTCTTTGAATGAGTACTAGGTAAAATGTAGAATTGACCAAAAAGTGATGTATAGAAGTTTATTTTTCTATCATCATTAAAACTCTGAGTCTACCTATTACTATTGAAGAGATGTGATATCCTTATAAATGGTCATAGTTTGAATTCTTCCTTTAGCTGCATTTGGGATCTGATAGTGTTAAGAAAAGAATTAAAATGATCTAGTACAAATCATTATCCTAGAATACCCTTTCCCCACTTTTCCTTATAAAGTGAATCTTTCCAGTATTTTAAGGTCCAACCTAAGTGTCACTTTATAGAACCTTCTCTGCTCCTCCAATATTCTTCTCTATGATTCCATAGCACTTCTAACAGAATTATAGCTCACATCTTGGTGTTATAGTTATTGTGGTAGCCATTAGTGTTATTTCCCAAATACTTCTGGTTTCCCTTCTTCCATAATAGGATTGACTTCTTGGCCCTCTGTGGTTAGGGTGATGTCACAGTTCTGACCAATGAGTTGTGAGTGGAAGTCCACGTACCACTTCCATGATAGAGCATTTTTTTTTTTAATTTTTTTTTTTATTTTGGCATATTATGGGGGTACAGATTTTAAGGTTTCAATAAATGCCCATTTCCCCCCCTCCATGATAGAGCATTTAATAGAGCCTCATTTCCCTTTGCTGTGGCAAGTTGGTAATATTCCAGAAAGTGGTTAGGGACCTCCACCTGAAGGGGCAACTGACTGGGGTTGCTTTGTGAGGCTTTGTATCTGCCACCTACTGATATGTTACTTATTGCTATTTGTAGCAATGCCCATAAGTGGTTTGAGGTCAATATGTGACAATTTGGATCCTTCCCTCCTTCCCTCCTTCCCTCCTTCCCTCCTTCCCTCCTTCCCTCCTTCCTCCCTTCCTCCCTTCCTCCCTTCCTCCCTTCCTCCCTTCCTCCCTTCCTTCCTTCCTTCCTTCCTTCCTTCCTTCCTTCCTTCCTTCCTTATCTTTCCCCCTCCCTTCCTATCTTTCTTTCTCTCTCCCTCCCTCTCCCAAATATTTATTTAGCACTTACAGTGTCAGGCATATTTCCAGAGTTCAGAAATACAATGGTTAATATGGAATACAGTGGTCACAAGGAACCTGACCTCAGAGAAGAGAGACATTAAGCATGCAAATATAATAAAAGGTGATCAGTGTTATGGGGGAAATACTAATATTGGTATTAGTATCTAATACTAATATTGGTATTAGTATTATATGTTAGTAGAATACTAGTACAATATTAGTACAATACTAATATTGGTATTAGTATTGGTAAAGCTATCTGGTGCCTTATTCCTTCATGTTCTATGATATCAGATCACTCCATTGGTTTCATATTCAATCTTATTTTTACATGTGGGATCCTTGTCTTCCTCAAAATGTTCTCAAGGTCTCCTCATGGGCATGTCCATTGTGGGCCCAATGGCTGCCCACCATGCCTCAGCCACCTGTGCCCTGGCATCTGCTCCCATTTGCCAATCTAGTCTGTCTCTGGTCTTTGACACCAAGTTCCATCAAATTTCACTGTCACCAAGAAGAGGCATCTATTGTTTTTTCAGGAAATTATGAGAGTACATACATTGTGGTTATGTTTTATATCTTTGCCTCTCCCTAGCAAGGGTTAGAGGTATGTCCCTCTCCTCCACAATGCCACAGTCACCTTGTCCCTCAGTTGTGAGTCTACCCCCCAACCCACTAATCTCTGGTGAACACCACCACCATGTGAGCACCATAGTGTTAATCAGTCAGTACCAATTTGATGGTGAGTACATGTGGAGCCCATTCTTCCGATCTTGTGTCACCTCACTTTGGATAATGGGCTTAAGCTCAATCCAGGAAAATATAAGCAGTGCTAGATCACTGTCTTTTTTTATTTCCTCCCTTCCTCTGCTGCACTCAGGTTTACCATAGGTAAACGTCTCTCTCTGCTAATGACTTCCTTTACCTGCTTAAGATCTGCAGAAAAGAACACCCCAGGGTGAAGCTTGCAGTCCAAGCTGCACTTTCACTGGGGAAGATAGAGTTTGCACTTAGTTGATGTTGGAAAGGAAACTTTTACTTTGGCGATTATTTCAACAGCCACACAACTGTAAAATCTTTCATCTTCCTTTACCTTTGGTTCTTGGTTAGTTCAAGGCTCTGCACAACACTTTTACACACAGTTATCTCTTTACATCTTGGCAATGTGTATAGGCCAGAATAGAATGTGGCTCAGGTGGGATTTGCTGTTTTCTTCGATGTTTAGCTAGGCAAGGCCTCAAGTGAGAAAGTTATTCTGCATGAGAATGTTTACACAGATAATTATTAGGGTTCTCACATGCAGCAGGCTGGTTTGTTCTTGAGGGTCCTTGAAAGGTTTCTTTTTTTTTTTTTTCTCCCTGGTCACAGTAAATTTAGGCTGAACTGGCAAGTGACCAGATTCCCTCCACCAGGATTACAAATTATTAGTGTCATTGCCTCTTCCACTGTACAAATGGCTACTACATTTGAATAGTAACCACTCAACCAGCCTTTCTAAATGTCCTTTAATTAAGGTGGGAGGATCACTTGAAGAGGACCATGTATGTTTGCTTTCAAGATCAGAATGTCTTTTCTGGGTTTTCTGAAAAAACTGATTTTGCTTTTGCCCTACTCAATAGGTAATTGCTAAAGAAGACCTGTCTCTGAAAAGCTCTGTGTGCTAGTCACAGCCACCCGTCCCCAGGAGCTTTACCAAGATGGACATTGTTTCCCTACACTTGAGTCCTAGGAGGGAGGAAAGCTCTGCTGGACTTCAGTTGGGCTTCTCTTTATGACCGAGTGGCAATAAGACCCAGTGACAATCACTCCCTACTTGAATCTGTACTATATTGTCTTCAGTCTTCCAGCTGCCTTCCTCTGTCGAACTCAGTGTCCTCTGCCACTGGACCTTTCTCTTTGGTAGGTATTATAGACTATTGGGAAGATCTGGTGGGGTGAACTGAATTTTTTTTACCTTGTATGCAAAGTGAATTTTAGTGGTGGAAAGCAGATGATTATGTAATCAATGGTGGTCTGGGTAGCCTAATTGAGTTGGGGATATTGTGGCATTGGAAATGTATCCTAAAATATCTGCTCAAAAATGTTGCCTGAATATGAGAAAAGGCAGAGCTCTTCATTACTGAATTTATGTTTTCTGGAAAAGAGAAACTTGTGGAATAAATGGTCTTACCAGGAAGAAGTCAGAATCATGCATTCAGGAATGCCAAATTTATCATGGTTACTCTTCATTCACTATTTCTAGTTGCTATAAAAGTAGTGCAAAGATTTAAGTATATTCTGAAATGAATAGCTTATTGCCTAAGGACCTATCCTACTTTTTCTCTAGGATGGGTAGAATATCCTAAAGTGATCAGGATAAGAGATTTCTTTTAAAACACACATCTGTTATTTCAAGTCAGGAGTGCTCTTGGGTTCATTGCTAACAGATTGTGCAACTTGAGGTTCGTGATTTAATTTTCCTTTTCCTTATTTCCTTTTCCTATAACATGGACAACATCATACATAGCATCTATGTGTGAAATGACTGTATGTAAAATGACTGCAGTATTGCATTCTTTACAAACATGTCCAAAATTTTGCCAAAAGGATTTCCCCTAATTAAAATGGACAGTAGCATAATAATTGTAGGATACTTGAGTAGTTATTTAATTCTTTAGTGGGGTAGATTTTGTTACAAATGCCTAAATCAAACAAAGACTTTAAAGAAAATGGCACTTTTTCTAATAATAGTGATTCTATTTAAAGTTCACCATTACTAATACATTGAGATATTGTGTGCATGTGTGATCTGGAATCCCTCAGCCAAGGGCTGGGAAATACCGTTAATGATTAAGTGAAAATGAATCGCACCTTGGGAATGAAGGAAATAAGTATGTTGGAGAATAACTTCAGCATTCGTATATGGGTTTGGGGCAGGATTGCCTTCGTGTTGTAATCGTTTAAAAAGGTTCTAACTGAAGTAGATAACTGACTTGTCCTGCAGAAAGCCTCCTCAGATTACTCTCTTTGAGTGCAGGACTGTTCCTACCCAACTCGAGGACTTCCTTGTTCAACACACACGCTCATCATCCAGCTGGAGCTGAGGTGAGTGGGATGAGGGAAGGATAAACGTGAGAGCTCTGTGTTTTCAGACAGTTCTTAAGCTTCTAGGAAAGTTAATTAGGAAGTGAAACCTGAAGCAGTTGACAGTGTGCATTGTTGGCTACTAGGGCATGGTGACAAATAGCCCTAAAAAGTCTTCACTTTCTTTTGTAAACAGAAAGGTAAGGAATTTGTACAAAAATGCACTGGGGAAGATCTGCTTTTCATCAGGGTCTAACCACATAGTAAACAACAGAAATAACTTGTTTTAATAAAGTGTGGTGTTGAAACGTTTATCAGCAAGTTCTTTCTACCAGCTTCCAAAGGTATATTTGGATAAGAGAAACCTTTGCCCAAAAGAACACAATCTGAAATTTAGTTATAACATTTTCTTCATGTCAAGGTCAAGAAACTTAAGGGAAAAGTTTGACTTTCATGTAATTGTGAATTTATCTCTTATTAGGCTCATATATTGTGAATAAGTATTTACTTATTATTTGGGGGTAGATGTGGTTGGGGAAGAGGAGAGAACTCTGCAAAATGTTTGATCTGGAATGGTTTAATGAATTCTATCATTTAAAGTGTCTGCTTCCTTCATCTTTCTCTGGATGGATGTGTACTGAGAGTTCCATGAGAAGAATCTTTCAAAATGCAAAAATGTATTTTTATGATGAGAAAATATAACAAAAACCAGACTGATCTGATGGAAAGTGTAGGGAAAGCTGGGAGGCAGGTCGGAGCCTGACCCAAGGATAGTGGTAAAGTGTTCGAGATGCAAAACTTAAAGAAGCGGGACTGGGCAGTCCAAGCAGACAAATTTGAAATGAAGGAGAAAGAAAGAGAAGAAGGGAAGAACTAACATTAACATAATAGTTTCCAGTCTGGGGACACATTCTGAGACCTGGCAACAATTACAAAGAAGCAAATGCAATTGTTTTTCAATCCAGCAGGATATGTTGAAGTCTCAATTTCTCTCCTCCAAGTAAGGAGAAGAACTTCCTAGAAAGGCTTTGTAGTTCTGTCGAATAGAATGTCCTGAGATGATGGAAATGATCTTCCATGCTGCCCAAGACTGTGCCCACTAGCTACATGTGGCTCCTGAATGCTTGAAATGTGGATGGTGTGGCTGAGTAATTGAACTCTGAATTTTATTTAATTTTAATTGTAATAACTACTTGTGATTAGTGGTTATCATATTGGATAGCACAGTTAGACTTTACCTCTTCAGAGGGCTGTACATCGTGGACAGTGATGGACCTCACCCTACATAAGAAAGGAGAGTTTTGAGAAAATTTGAGGGTTCCTCTGAGGAAGGACAAATTCTTGTCCTAACTCTGTGACTGTACCAAGCAAGTCAATTTTCACTAATGCAAATATTCCCTAATTGTAAATATTGCCTACTATGTTCATCCCCTGTATGTACTCAGGATCAGTGGTAGACCAAATCCACCCTCACACAGACTGGCTACATAGGCCAAAGGAAGGGAAAGGGAGAAATTCCGGGAGAGAATTAAAGAGCATGCTTCTTCAACTGAATTAAATAGAATCTCTGAATTTCCACCTACCTTGGCCTCTGAATGACTATTGAATTGCCCGACTTTCACAAAGAGTAGGATTTGTTGAATATAAAAGTATAGAGTTTTTTGTCATGGGAATTTATTCAAAATCTGTTACAATATGTTATTATGGTTGATTTTCATCATGGATTTATTTTTGTTGTTGTTGACAGAATGTCTACTCTTTGGTCCCTGAACAATCCAAGAAAGACAGTGTTTCTGTACAAATAAATATTAATATATTCACAAGTCGATTTGTCTTGGTAAAGTGAAATGTTAGTAAAGGGACAATATATGTAAAAGGACCACAGAGGAATGAATGAGGGGGAAATGTATCTGGACTAAATAAAGCCTTGGTGCAAGTATCGAACAGTATCTAGGGATGATCTCTAAGTATTGTTGGCAAAATGTTATATGATGAGACTTAGGGAATGATTAAATTGCCTTCCAGTGTGGAACTCTATCAAATGCTGAACTAGAATGTGATAATTATTTTTAGTTGGTAATTAGATACTTGCAAGGTTTTTCACACCATCAGTGTAGTTCACTCTGCCTTGACAAGATCAACCAACCAATCGATTCAAGCAGTTAGCCATCCATTCCTCCATCTCTTCACGGTCCTTTTCTTTGTTTTCTTTTTCAGCAACAATGGGTATGAGAGATTCAAAGATTATAGCACAGGAGCAGTGAGGAAAATTCTAGTTTCCCTTTTGATAATTCATTAGTCATTTGACCCCATTTTCTTTACCACAATTTATTAATACAACTGCAATTCTTGCTGCCAGTTTGTGAAACAAAATGTTATTGAGAATATGAAAAGTTTTTCTGACTTTACCACTTTGTCCCTGGTGCACTTGCATCTCCTCTAATCCCTGTCTGGAACTCTCTTCATACATTTTTATTATCTACTTCTTATTCTACAAAGGCAGGAATTATGTCTGCCTTATTCAGTATAGTGTCCTTACTAGTCAGACCATGATTAAAAAAATAATAGCCACTAAATAAATTATTAAATTTTTTTAAAGCACAAATATCTTCCTATTCTTCTGTAACCTTTTGGAGTGGCTGTGTTGCTTAGTAGTGTGGTTGACTCATGTCTGCTTATGGGTGTATCTACACTCAGATTTTATATGTTATATAAATCCCTGATGAAGCATTGTTAAGTATTTTATTCATTCAACTTGAAAGAATATCTGGGGTTCTGAAAAGGCATTTTCAACCACTTCTTTGCAAAGAGTTTTTACAAAATGTGACAGTCAACATTTTTTATCAGATGATTGTTTTCCTACTATTTAAGAGTCTCTGGTGTCCTTTCCTAATTTCCACCGAACTGTTGGGGTCCAAACAAAAGAGGCAAGCTGAACTTGTGACATTTACCAACTAATGAATCAATTAACTAACAGGTCTTGATTTGCTCATATGTGCAAGTGCCTAGTCCACGTGATTCGATGTTGTATTGCCTGCCTTTGAACCAAGGGCCCATGTTATTATACTACAGAAGTGCAAATCCCCGAGCCTCCCTTTTCAACGCACCTGTTTGGTTTAAAAACAAATATTAGATCCACATTCTATAGAGAATAGAAATTTTCTCCACTTTTAATGGCTTCCCAAATGTCTGGAGAATTTCATAGTATTAGTGAATATCATGAAAGAGAATAGGAAGTAAAAAAAAAAAGTGAGAAAATGAAACTTTTACTGCTTCAAAAACAGTGGCAATTTCCCTGAAGTGGTAAATGGACCATCTGTGTGCTCTGGCACCAGAAAATGTATAATTTCTTTTAAAGTACCAGGTACATATCTGTCCTTTTAAATGTCTATCTGGAATAATGTGTGTATTGTTGTATGAAAATGAAGCAGGAAGACAGAGTGGACTTTTTAAGCACGGCGTGCCTATTTACTTCAAAGCTATTATTCTTCTTGTCAACGAGAATAAAATTTATTAACTTAGGTAAAAATAAAGAGTCAGGCATTTTCTTGCAATAAGGAGGGTAAGTAGATCACACCTTGAAAATCTGTCTGCTCCCATTTGGAAAAGCACTGCCTTTAATCCTGAGCATTTTATTTGAAATACAACAGACATTGCAGCGGGAAAGGGAAAGCTTAAGTTGTGATGGAACCCACTTACCCTTCCCCAAGTCCTAGGATTTGTGTCTTTGAGAACACCCAAGACCCACCAATAGTTTTTGTAGGTGCTTAGCAGTAAACGGAATCAAGGGAAATAATTTGTTACAGCCTCTGGCTTGTTTCAATCCCTTCCTTTTTTTCAGTATTGGTTGACTATTTACGAGGTTTATAAAAATACAGAAATCAGAGATGAGACAGTTATCAGAGATGATGGAATAGAGATACACTCAGTAACATTTTAGCAACATCCAACCTTCTGGAATCTTCTGCCTTTCCTTTTCAGGCAGCCTGACCAGATACAGGCCAGCATTACATGAGTTTTTGGAGAGGGTCAGGGCCTTTTGCACCTCTGTACCTTCCCATTTGTTTTTCTCTCAGCCTGGAAACACTCCTCACTAGGCTGATTTCTACTTAGCCTTAATATTTCAGCTTAAATATTTCCTTACTGCAGGAATTGTTTGTCCTTTGAATTGATTTATAGTGTATGTATTTTACCTCTAAAAGAGATTAGTAAAAATTGGAAGTTTTAAAAGTTGGACCCGAGAGAAATTATTGTCACTGTGACCAAACTCAAAAGTTAGCTGCTAATTTATTATTGATTTTCAAAAATCATCTCTCTGCTTCTGAATGACGTTTAAGATGCTATCTATAAGTTTAGCTTCTATTTTAATAATGGCTCTTCTTTATCTCTGGTATTGAATTTCTTCTCATTATATTGTGATGATTTCTTCTATTTTACTTTACCTCAGTTTTCATAATTTTAGCTTAGTTGCTTGATAGGTTATCATTTAACTTTATTATTTTTTTCTCTCACATTTTTATTGCACATATGTATACTAAAATGTTCATGAAAATTACAGATACACTTTAACAACGACTTGTAGAAATAACATCTGTGTAACCACCAGCCACTTCTTGAAGTAACCATTATCTTGACTTTTTAAAAATAATTTATTTTCTTTTCCATATATTTATGTATACTTCAATGATATAATTCGGTTTAGCTTATTCTTGAAATTTACATACATGGAACAATACTGTATGTACTTCTTGTGGCTTACTTCTGTCATTCAATGTTTCAGTTTTTGCATGAATTTGTAGATTATTTCCAAATTTTATTTATCCATTCTACTGTTAAGGGAATAAAATTTGGGCTGCTTTCAGGTACATATTTTTGGGTATATATCCAATGTACATGTACATGGGTTCCTCTTGGATATTTAATTTTGTTGATTCATGGGGTAGATGATCCAATCATTTCACTGGATAATAACAAACTGTTTTTTCAAAGTAGTTGAACCAAGGAACACTTCCACCAGCAGCATATGAGAGTTTTTATTGCCCTGCAATTTTGTCAAGGTTTGATATTATTATGCTTTTATATTTTTGCCCTTTTAATTTGTTTATCCCTGATAACTAAATAGGTTTCATGTCTTTTTAATATGTTTATTTCCCATTTGTAGGTCTTCTTTTATTTAGCTGTTTGTCCATTTTTCCCCTTGGCTTGTCTGCTTTTCTCTTATTGATTTGATGAAGTCTTTATGTGATAGTGTGTTGGGAGTGGGGAAGGCTCTGTTCATGCTGTCATTCAGAGAGCCAGGCTCCTTCCAACCAGTAGTTCCATGACTTCCTGGGACCCTGGAGTCCTCCACCAGATCCTCCACATTTGGCCAGCAGATGAGGGAAGAGAGACATACCATGGAAGGAGGAGGATCATGTGGGAAGTTTTATAGAAGTCAAGCCTATGTATATCAGAGCTGTGTATCAGTCACTTCTGCCTACATTCCAATGGCCAGACACCAGTTATATGGTCCCTAGGAAATACAAGTGAGGTTAGGAAATGTGCTCAGAGTGCCACAATACAAAGGACATTGGGTTCAGTGAACCGAAAGCACTGTCTGCCATATATACCATGACTGGGATGACGTTCTCCTATAC